TGGACACAATGCTTTTATTTATTTATTTATATTTATGTGGTACCTAGGATTAAACCCAGAGCCTGGCACATGCTTGGTGAGTGCTCTACTGCTGAGCCATAACCCCATGCCCAAGGCATGTTACCAGCCTTGTGCTCCAGAGGGAACTATTGTTTCTGTATTCCAAAGGCACTCTCTATTAGAATATCCTTAAAAATAGAGTCCAAAATAAAGAAAGTTAGTGCTTCTGCTTAGCAGATATGCAGAACATAAGAGACATCTGGAGAATTGTCTCCTAAGAAGTTGTAGAGACAACTGTATGGTAATCACAGGTTACAGTGTGTGTTCAAAAAGATAAAAGGAGATTGAGATAGCTTGGGTACAACAGGATTTGGGAACAGAGATGAAGACAGTTTCCTATTAATAGCCTTTCCTACTAATAGCTGCTCATTACAAGGAAATGAGCCTGAAATCCTAGCAGCTCTGGGGGCAGGAAGATTGTGAGTTCAAAGCCAGCCTCAGCAAAAAAAAAGCAAAGTGCAAAGTAACTCAGTGAGACCCTGTCACTAAATAAAATACAAAATAGGTCTAGGGATATGGCTCAGTGTTTGAGTGCCCCTCTTGAGTTCAATCTCCACTACCCAAACAAAACAAAAAGGAAATGAAGTCAGGAGCAAGGTAGAAGAAACCTCTTGTTGGCAGCATTAACATCTCCTTTTTCATCCCTATCAAGCTTTACATTCAGATTTTTATTCCTAGCTACTCCTGATGGGAAATAGGTACACACACACACACTGTATGAAATCTAATAAGTATAGTTGGAACAAATTATATATATAAATTTAATCAAGGAATCCCAGAAATATTTGATTATGCTGCCTTTAAGGACACATATATAAATACAGCATTTTTCAATTACTAGAACCAGATGCAAAATGTGCAACCCAATTACTTTCATATTCCCTATTACAGAAATGTTATGAACTTTAATGAAGAAATTATTCATAAAGATTTTTGTTAAAATGAATATTCATTCATTTTATGAAGAAGGTTGACTCCATCTGATGGTAGCATCAGATCTGAAAAGCACAGGAATGGGAAAAATCACTAATTTAGAGTATGTTGGTAGTAGGGAAAAGGCAAGCCAGACCTCACTTAACATGGGAATTGGCTTTTTCCTTTTAAGTTAAAAAAAAAACTCTGGGCACACTGCATCAAATTATCTTTTTATATTAGATTTTCTATTACACAAATCTTGAAAATTAAACTTTATGCTGAAATAATTACAGACACAGATGCATTTGTAAGATATATTGTTGAGAAATCTAGTGTATCTTTGCACATTTTTCTAAATAGATGCATCATGAAAAAATATAGCACAAGATCATAACCAGGATATCGACAGGATCACAGTCAAGGTACACAACACTTCTATCACTGCAAGGATCCTTCATGTTGCCTTTTATAGCCTCACCCTCTCCCCTATCACTTCTAGTTTGACTCTTAGCAAGTACTAATGTGTTCTTTATTTCTGTAATGTTGTCTCAAGAATATTATATAGATGGAATGATATTGTATGTAACTTTTGGATTTTTCATTTAGCATAATCCCTTGGAGATTTATTCAGTTTATTTGTAGGTATCAAATATATATTGGATGATATAGATATACTATGGCTTCTTTAACCATTCACCTATTGAAGTACATTTGAGCTGTTTCTATTGTTCAGCTGTTACAAAGTTGCTTTTGGACTTTTGTGTGAGCATAAACTTTTTATTTCTCTAGAACAAATGTCACAAGTATAATTGTTGGATCATACAGTGGCAGCATGTTAATTATTTTATGAAACTACCAAGCTGTATTTTAGACAGTCTATAAAATCTTGCATCCCCATCAGCAATTATGAGTAATTCTCTTTTCCTTAATCCCTATAACCAGTTGGCTACAACTTATTATGATAGACATATAATAATCCCTCATTGTGGTTTTAATTTACATTTATCTAATGGGTAACAATTTGATTATCTGTCATATGCTTCTTTGCCATATCCTCTTTGATGAAATGCCTATGTTTTTAGGCCATACTCCAAATGGATTTTTATGAAACTATTGATTTTGAGAGTTCTTAGGTATTAGTCCTTTGTAAGATATATCATTTACTTATATTTTATCCATGGCTGTGGATTCTCTCTCCAACTATTTAACAATCTTTATAGAGCATCATTTAAAAAATTAATAGTAGGAATTGAATCTAGGGGTGCTTAACCACTGAACCACATTCCTAACCTGTTTTTATTTTGAGGCAGGGCCTTGCTAAGTTGCTTAGGGCTGACATTCAGCTGTAGATTCTCTTGCCTCAGTCTCCTGAGCTGCTGTGATTATAGGTGTGAAACACAACTTGGCTCAGTTTTTAATTTTGATAAATCCCAGTTTATCATTTTCATGAATCGTGCTTTGGTGTTAAGTCTAAGAACCATTTTCCTGGATCTAGGTAAAGATCATTTCTATGTGGTTTTTCTTCCTAAAGGTTATATAGTTTCTGTTTTATATTTAAATTTGATTCATTTTGGAATAATTTCCATAGAATACATAAGGTAAGTTAGCTTCATAAAATTAACTGGAAAGTATTATATCATCTTCTATTTTATGGCAAATATTAAATAGAATTGCTGTTAATTTTTCTTTGAGCATTTTGTAGAGTTCTCCATTGAAACCATCTAAGCTTGGAGATTCTTTTGGGAGGGAATCTTAAAACTATATATTCAATTTCATTGGTATGTATTGGGCTTTTCAAATAATTGTTTCATTTTGGATGAGTTGTAATGATTTGTGTTTTTTTCTTTTTATAATATTTATTTTTTAGTTTTAGGTGGACACAATATCTTTATTTTACATTTATGTGGTGCTGAGGATCAAACCCAGTGCCGCAGTCTAGCTGGGCAAAATAAGCAGGAGGTGACAAGCAACTTGAAGGTTGAAGTGGTAACAGCTTAATTGCTAAAGAACTCAGCGGGAACTGAGCGGGAACTCAAGGTAGGGGGCACCCAATGTAGCAGGAGCCGCTTTATTGTGGGACAGCAGAGGTATATACACTTAACTGATTACACACAGCTTGACTCAATTAGCATCATCCAGATACAGTAATCAGCCAATAAGGAATCCCCACCATCCAAATGGCTCGGTAGCATTGCCTCACAAACCACTCCTCCTGGCAAACTGCCAGGCACCATCTTGACTTGGTCGTGGCCTCCAACAACCCAGTACCTCATGCATGCTAGGCGATCACTCTACCACTGAGCCACAACCCCAGCCCAGTGATTTGAGTTTTTCAAAGAATTTATCTTGTTGCTTAGGTATTGCTGAGTCTTTCTGGCTGTGATGGTGTTCTGTGATGGTTGTCCAGTTATTCCACTAATTTTTGAGAGAAGTCTTTGTAGTTGTTGGTTTTTCTTTCTTTTTTGATTTTAATTTTTTAATTTATTCTAATTTGTTATACTTGACAGCAGAATACATTTCAATTCATAGAATACATATAGAGCACAATTTTTCATGTCTCTGGTTGTACACAATTTTTCATGTCTCTGGTTGTACACACCATTTGTGTCTTCATACATGTACTTAGGGTAATAATGTCCATCTCATTCCACCACATTTCCTACCCCCATGCCCCCTCCTTTGCCCTTCCTCTCCTTTGCCTTTCCTCCATTCCTCCCATTCCTTCCCTCCATCCCCATTATGGATCAGCATCTACATATCAGAGAAAACATTTGGTCTTTGGTTTTGGGGATATTGATTGGCTTACTTCATGTAGCATAATATTCTCCAATTCCATCCATTTAACTACAATTGCCATGATTTTATTCTCTTTTAATACTGAGTAATATTCCATTGTGTGTATATGCCACATTTTTTTATCTATTCATCTATTGAAGGCCATCTAGGTTGGTTCCATAGTTTAGCTATTGTGAATTGTGCTGCTATAAACATTGATGTGGCTGTGTCCCTGTAGTATGCTGTTTTTAAGTCCTTTGGGTATAGACCAAGGAGTGGGACAGCTGCGTCAAATGGTGGTTCTATTCCCAGTTTTTCAAGGAATCGCCATACTGCTTTCCGTATTGGCTGCACCATTTTGCAGTTCCACCAGCAATGTGAGTGTGCCTTTTCCTCTACACCCTCACCAACACTTATTGTTGTTTGTATTATTAATAGCTGCCATCTGACTGAGATGAAATCTTAGTTTACATTTGCATTTCTCTAATTGATAGAGATGTTGAACATTTTTTTATATATTTGTTGATTGTGTATCTTATTTTGAGAAGTGTCTGTTCAGTTCCTTGGTCCATTTATTGATTGGTTTTTATCTATTTATTTATTTATTTTTGTGTTAAGTTTTTTGAGTTCTTTATATAGCCTAGAGATTAGTGCTCTTTCTGATATGCATGTGGCAAAATTTTGCTCCTATTCTGTAGGCTTTCTCTTTACTTTATTAATTGTATTTTGATAAAAAACTTTTCAGTTTGAACCCATCCCATTTATTGATTCTTGATTTCATTTCTTGCACTATAGGTGACTGTCGGGGCCTAATCAGACATGAGGAATATTTAGGCCTACTTTGTCTTCTGTTAGGCATAGGGTCTCTGGTTTAATTCATGGGTCCTTGATCCACTTTGAGTTGAGTTTTCTGCATGGTGAGAGATAGAAGCTTATTTTTATGTGGCTGCATGCGGATTTTCAGTTTTCTTAGTACCATTTGTTGAGAGGCTATCTTTTCTCCAGTATATGTTTTTGGTAGCTTTGTTTAGTATGAGATAACTTTATTTATTTGGGTTTGTCTCTGTCCTCTATTCTGTATAATTGGTCTACAAGTCTATTTTGGTGCCAATACCATGCTGTTTTTGTTACTATTGCTCTGTAGTATAGTTAAGGTCTGGTATAGTGATGCCACCTGTTTCACTCTTCTTACTCAGAATTGCTTTAGCTGTTTTAGGTTTCTTATATTTCCAAATAAATTTCATGATTGTTTTTTCTATTTCTATGAAGAATGACATTGGGATTTTAATAGGAATTGTATTAAATCTGTATAGTGCTTTTGGTAGTATGGTAATTTTGACAATATTAATTCTGCCTGTCCAAGAACAAGGGAGATATTTCCATCTTCTAAGGTCTTCTTTAATTTCTTTCTTTAGTGGTCTTCAGTTTTCATTATAGAGGTCCTCCACCTCTTTTGTTACGTTGATTCCCAAGGTTTTTTTTTTTTTTTTGTTTTGTTAGTTTTTTTTTTTTTGAGGCTATTGTAAATGGGATAGTTTTCCTAGTTTTTCTTACAGAGGATTTGTTACCAATGTACAGAAATGCCTTTGACTTATGGGCATTGATTTTATGAATTGCTACTTTGCTGAATTCATTTATTAGTTCTAGTAGTTTTCTGGTGGAAATTTTTGGATCCTCTAGGTATAGAATCATGTCATCAGCAAATAGTGATAGTTTGAGTTATTGTTTTCCTATCCATGTCCATTTAATTTCTCTCAACTATCTAATTGCTCTGGCTAGAGTTTCAAGAACTACGTTAAATAGCAGTGGTGACAGAGGGTATCTCTTTCTTGATCCAGTTTTTAGGGGGAATGCTTTCAATTTTTCTCCATTTAGAATGCTATTGGCTTGGGGCTTAGTAAATACAGCTTTTACAATGTTGAGATATTGTTCTGTTATCTCTAGTTTTTCTAGTGTTCTGAATATGAAGGGGTGCTGTATTTTGTTTAATGCATTTTCTGCATCTATTGAGATGGTAATATGATTTTTATCTTTAAGTCTATTGATGTGATGAATTACATTTATTGATTTCTGTATGTTGAACCAACTTTGCATTACTGGGATGAACCCCACTTGATCATTGTGCACTTTTTGATCTGTTTTTGTATTCGATTTGCCAGAATTTTATTGAATTTTTTTGCATTTATGTTCATTAGATATATTAATCTGAAGTTTTCTTTCTTGGATGTGTCTTTGTCTGATTTTGAAATCAAAATGATATTGGCCTCATAGAATGAGTTTGGAAATGTTCCTTCTTTTTCAATTTCATGAAATAATTTGAGGAATATTTGTATTAGTTCTTCTTTGAGGGGCTTGTAGACTCAGCTGTGTATCAATCTGGTCCTTGGCTTTTCTTGGTTGGTAGGTTTCTGATGGCATCTTCTATATCATTGCTTGAAATTGATCTGTTTAAATTGTGTATATCATTCTGATTCAGTTTTGGCAAATTATATGCCTCTAGAAAATTTTCAATGTCTTGGATATTTTCTATTTTATTACAGTACAAGTTTTCAAAATAATTTCTAACTATCTTCTGTATTTCTGTAGTGTCCTTTGTGATATTTTCTTTTCCATTACCATGTTAGTGATTTGAGTTTTCTCTTTCCTGTTCTTTGTTAGCATGGCTAAGGGCTTATCAATTTTATTTATTCTTTCAAAGAACCAACTTTTTGTTTTATCAATTTTTTCAATTGTTTCTTTTCTTTCAATGTCATTGATTTCAGCTGTGATTTTAATTATTTTCTGTCTTCTATTTGCTTTTGGTGTTGGTTGGTTCTTCTTTGTCTAGAGCTTTGAGATCTAATGTTAAGTCATTTACTTGTTGACTTTTTCTTTTTTAAGGAATGAACTTCATGAAATGAACTTTCCTCTTAGTACTGCCTTCACAGTATCCCAGAGATTACAATATGTAGTATCAGTGTTCTCATTTACCTCTAAGAACTTTTAAATCTCCTCTTTGATGTCTTCTGTAACCCATTTTTCATTCAGTAGCATAGTATTTAGTCTCCAGGTGTTGGAGTAGTTTCTATTTTTTCTTTTATTATTGATTTCTAATTTAATTCCATTATGATCTGATAGAATGCAGAGTAGAATTATCTCTACTTTTTTGGATTTGCTAAGAGTTGCTTTATGACATAATATATGGTCTATTTTAGGGAGAGATCCGTGTGCTGCTGAGAAGAAAATGTATTCACTCATGGATGGTTGAAATATTCTCTATATTTCTGTTTCATGTAAGTTATTTTTTGTGTTAATGAGTTCTACAGTTTCTTTGTTTAACTTTTGTTTGGAAGATCTGCCCAGTGGTGAAAGAGGTGTTTTAAAGTCACCTTGTATTATTGTGTTGTGGTCTGTTTGACTCTTGAAGTTGAGAAGTTTATTGATGAAGGTAGCTGCTCCATTGTTTGGGGCATATATATTTATAATTTTTCTGTCTTGTTGATGTATGGTTTCCTTAAGCACTATGAAATGTCATTTTTTTATCCCTTATGATTAACTTTGGCTTAAATTCTACTTTATTTGATATGAGGATGGAAACTTCTGCTTTTTTTCCACAGTCCATATGAGTGGTATTTTTTTTCCCCAACCTTTCACCTTCAATCAGTGGACGTCTTTTCCTGAGATGAGTCTCTTGGAGACAGCATATTGTTGGGTCTTTTTAAAAATCCAATCTGCCAGTCTATGTCTTTTGATTGGTGAGTTTTGACCATTAATATTCAGGGTGATTATTGAGGCAGGATTTGTATTCCTGGTCATTTTTGTTTATTTTTGGTATTTAACTTGACTCGGTTTTTCATTTGATTGGATTTTTCTTTAGTGTGATACCTCCCATTGCTGATTTTCATTGTTGTTTTTTATTTTGTCTTCATGAAATATTTTGAGGATGTTCTGTAGTGCAGGCTTTCTAGTTGTAAATTCTTTTAACTTTTGTTTATCATGGAAGGTTTTTACTTCATCATAAAATCTAAAGCTTAATTTTGCTGGATATAACATTCTTGGTTGGCATCCATATTCTTTCAGAACTTGATATATATATATAATTTCAGCATCTTTCAGCTTTCAGGGTCTGTATTAAAATCTGCAGATATCCTAATTGGTTTCCCCCTATATGTACTCTGATTCCTTTCTCTTATGGCTTTTAATATTCTCTCCTTTTTCATATGCCAGGCATTTTCATTATAGTGTGCCTTGTTGTATATTTGGTGTCCTGTAAGTCTCTTGTATTTGATTTTACAATTTATTCTTTTTGTTTGGAAATTTTTTCTGATTTTATTTCATTGAATAGATTCTTTATTCCTTTAGTTTCAAATGCTATGCCTTCCTCTATCTCAGTAATTCTTAAATTTGATCTTTTTATATTATCCCATAATACCTGCATATTCTGTTCATGGTTTCTTATCATCTTCACTGTGTGGTCAACTTTATTTTCAAGATTATATATTTTGTCTCCATTCTCCGAGGTTCTGTCTTCCAAGTTATCTAATCTGTAGGTGGTGCTTTCTATTGAGTTTTTTAAAATTTTTTTTTACATGTTGATGGACCTTTATTTTATTCATTTATTTATATGCAGTAATGAGAATCAAGCCCAGTGCCTCTAACATACTCTCGGCAAGCGCTCTACCACTGAGCTACAAATCCAGTCCCTCTATTGAGTTTTTAATTTCATTTATGTTTCTTTTATTTCAAGGACTTCTATTTTTTTTTTCCCCAGATCCTCTCCCTCCTTATGAAAGTAATCTTTTTCTTCTTGTATTTGCTTATGTAGGTTTTTATCAAAATGATCTTTTGCTGTCTGTATTTACTCTCTTATATTATTCTTTAACTAACAGAATAATTTAGTTATGTACATTCTGAACTCCTTCTCTGTAATTTCTTCTGCTGTGCTGTCCATGGAGTCTTATAATGTAGTATCTTGGTTTGTTTGGGACACTTTCTTCCCTTGTTTTTCATTTTGTACACATGTCTTGCCTTCTAGCACTGAGGATCTGAGGTGTTACAGTTTTTATTCTATAGGCTTATAGTGTCCCTGCCGCATTTCAATACTTTTTTGTTAAGGGGAGAACAATATTAGCAGATACCAATACAAACAATAAACAGCCTTAAACCAAATAGCTGATATTAAGATGTTTATGGTTTTGTAACAATATACAGAAATGGTGAGTTCAATTATTATCTACAATATAAACAGTAGGTTTGCAAAAGGGTCTACAGTTTCTGATGGTGGACAAAGAGAGAACCAGAGGTGGGGTGTAGGATGAGATGTTAAGGAGGTTAGGAGGTGGGAATATAGAGTTCTTAGATCTTAGGAAGCATGAAAGAGGAATCAAAAGAAGTTGGCTAATAGCAAGAGAAAAGAGAGAAAGTGATTTTTGGGGAGACAAGTAAGTTGGAAGACAATAAATAGTACAAAAAACATACAAACATAAAAATTAAGAAAAATAAAAAATGTAAAAGTAGGAGATAAAAGAATACACAACTGTAATACAGTATTCAGACATCCTATTCCTCAGTAGCCTAATCCATGAAAAGTACTTGGGTTCATAGATGTTGGGGATATGAAGGTGGGAAAAGAAAGAGAGAGAGAGTAAAAGAAAAAACAAAAAAAGGAGAAAAAAGAATCTTGAAGGAAGATACAAGGACTGTTTCTGTTGGAGTTCATTATCTTTCCTGCTTCCCTTCTCATCCAATAGGTGAGGATGTCTGTTGTTTGCCTGTATCCCCACCCTCAGGATGGTGAAGGTTATTAGGATGGTAGGGTTGGTCTTGGGGTGTGGCTCCTCGAGGTGGGCTATAGCACTTGCTGGTCCCTGATGGGAGACTACACCTCAAAGGTCTCCGTGTAGGCACCTGGTCTTATCTCATTATATTGCCTTTAGACCTCACAATTCCTGGTCTCTAATATAGTCTCTAAACTGTATCTCGCTCACCCCCTCCCTTTCTGCTTTCCAATCAGGAAATTTTCTCTCCAGAGATCTTGTGGGCTGTGCTCTGGGGATGCATACCCATTTCGAAGAGCTGTTTAGTATCAGGCAGTTCAGGACCAGGTTTGGCAAACTATTGACCAGCCTCATAGCCACAAGCACTATGCCACAGATAGCGGCTGCAGGGGAGAGGGAGCAGTTGGGGACTCAGTACCTTGATGTTGCTTCCAGGCCTCAGCTGGCATCCCAGGCTGAGAGTTGCCCCAACTAAAGATGGTGACAAAGTTGTCCCAAGATGGAGGCAGTTGTTTTCAGGGTGTTAGGTCAGGTAGGGTGTTGGGTCAGGTGGGGCTGGGCAGTGGTGTTTGGGTGGTTTGTTCAGAGATGCAGCTCTGTGGTGTGCAGTGTTGTGGCTGGCAGCTGTCTCCAGACCCTGTGCAGTGTCCCCTGGTATGGGTCATTGCATGTAGGGGACTATGGAAGTGGTTGTAGTGTCCCAAGATGCAGGTGGCCAGAGGAGCATTGGTAGATGGGGGTCTACACCAGAGTGATGGCCAGAGGTCCTGCAAATGGGCAGTGGCCAGGTGTCCTGCATGGGAGTGGTGGCCCAGATTCCTATGCAGATGGGCAGCCAGAAATCCTGCATGGGTGCTGATGTTGGTGGTCTTGCTCCGGCATGGTGCTTGGGATTTCTGCGAGGGAGCACCTGTCAGGTATCCTCTAATAACTTGCAGAGAAGCAGTATTCCCACTACTTGAATCCCAGGTCACAGAGGGACACAGAATGCAGCCTCCCTCTAGCCCACCATCTTGGATCTCCCTAGTTATTGATTTTTCTATTGCTCCTTTGTGTTCCTGAGTCTTTGTTTTACATATTTTGTTGATCTATTATTAGATGACTGCACATTTAGGATGTCAATGTTTTCTTGGTTGATTGACTCTGTTGTCATTTACATAATGTAGTTCTCTGTCTCTGATAATTTTCTATGCTTTGAAGTCTGCTTTTTCAGAAACAATTAAGGTACACTTGATTTTATTTGATTTATGCTTGTATGATACATATATTTTCATCCTTTACTTCCAATACTAAAGGATGAGGCATTTGAAGTGAGTTTCTTATAAACAGGATTTTAAACACCTTTGCCAATCTCTGGCTTTTAATTGGTACATTTAAAATCTGTTGTGTTTGCCCTATGGCTGGATAATCAAAATCCCCATGCCTTTAGTTGGTACTAGGTTTGGTAAATACTGCCATGGAGGAAGTAAATAGGTGAATGCAAGCAAGTAAAACAAGTGATTGCAATGTCAGAGAATGATATGCAGATTTGAATAAAATAGACGCTATTTAGGAATATAAGTTCAAATCATTTATAGACTTCTTAGTTTTTTTCTTACTATCTTTTTTTTTGATTTTCAATCTAGAATTAAAAAGAAATAATGAAAATTTCTGGGTTTCATTATGATGGGAGTTAGCTGTACATGATGAGTAAATTAGGAGATTGTGGAAGCATCAGTATTATAACCCTATGATAAAAATGTAAAGTTTAATAGATCTTGGGACTTCATAATAATTCCCACTGGAATTTTTGTTGATTAAGCAAATTTTCAATGGAAACTATTTTTTTTAGTATTATTATTATTGCTACTTTTATTTGTATTCTATCAATAGATAGAAAAGTTATTTCCAATTTTTGCTTTTATGAATTTTGCTGCTAATCAATCAACAGATACATGAAAAAATGCTCACCATCTCTAGCAGTCAGAGAAATGCAAATCAAAACTACCCTAAGATACCATCTCACTCCAGTAAGATTGGCAACTATTTTTAATCTTTCTATTTTTATACGAACATTCAAGGTGAACTCAATAATTCTGTATGAATTTTTGATTGACCCCAACAAGCTCCTTAAATCAACATTTTGGTTAAATGTGAGTGAATCTATCTCATTATTTAATAGTATAGTTATCCTAAAAATTGCAATTCTATAAAGCTTTCTTCTGATTTACTCCTTAAAAATATAGACCTGAACTTCACTTTTAGTATCTTGCTTGAAAAAACAGTTAGGTCTCAGGCTTTGTACCTTAGACATCTACTGTTGTTTCCCTTCTATTTCTTCCTGAGTTATCTCATCAATTTCCAAGAGCATAATGACAATGCATAGGCTAATAATTTTTAAATTCTGTCTCTTCCTGACACAATTCCTTTCAAACTTTCTCTGTATTTCTGAGTATATTTATCTTTCTTCTTGGATATATTGCAGTGCGCTCAGATAAAACATATCCAAAACTGAATTTCTTAGCTTTCCCGTCTCATACCACTCCTCCTTGTATGAATTCCTTTCTTCATAAGGAATGGTACCACATCTTCAGTTTCTTAAACTGGAAAGTTCTGTGATATTTGTTCCTTCTTCATTACTCTACATTTAAGTTATCACACTTACTTAAGATCACCTGAAATGTTCTTAAGTCTAGTAATTATTTCCAATATTATCTCCAAGATTTTATTTACTGGAAAAAGCTTTTGATCTGATTTTTCAATACTGGTCTGGTCTCCTCTTACTTAGCCACATTTTCCCATTTGAGTTATAATTCTATATTGTAATAATACCATCATTGACAATAGCAAACTCCCATGTGTATTGTTCTGCTAAACCCATCCCTGGCTCTCAGTGATCATGAGGTAAACTTTTACCTTCAGGGATGTGCCACCCAATTATGTCTCCTATCACTTTTTCCCCTGGAACTCATCCTTTAATTTTAGTGAACTTTCGACCATATCTTCTATACAACATAGTATTTCTGAGTAAGCCTTTGTACATATCTTTCTGCAATTTCTTCCCTTTTAAAATAGCTGTTTATCCTTCAAAATAAAAATACAAACCACTGTGAAGACTTCCACAAGTTATTCATCTAGTTATTCATCCAATGGAATTGTGCTCATTTTTCTTTGTACAATTTGTGACTACAATGATTCTTCAATTATATCATGGGTTCTTGAGGGCTGAGGTTGAGTCTTATTTAATACTGTTTCTCAAGCATGCCACTGGTGAATACTGGATGCTAATAAGTGTTGTACAATATAAAGAAGGGTACTCCAGGACAGGTTAAAAGGATTAGAATCTACCAGAGGTAAGGGGAACAAGAAGTCTATTTACAACAGCAAGTTGTAGTAACAACAGTTTGGAGTAAGATAGTGCTTGCTGTTGTTGTATACACCAACATATACCTTAGTGAATGTTTTGGTTATTTTACTATTAGCTATCATTATCTCTCTTTCACCTAATAATTAGTCACAAACCTTGTAAAATGGTAGTTTTCACTGATGTGTTGTTGAGTTTTACATTGGATTAGAAAGTCAGCAAAGTTGTATGAGTTGGCAAAGTTGTATGAGTTCAATATAGTTCTATGGTTGGTCGGTCTGTCTGTTTATCTGTCTATCTGTCTATCTATCTATCTATCTATCTTCAGTACTGAGAATTAAACCCAGGGGTAATCTACCATTGAGCTACATGGTCTGAGCTTTTTTTTTTTTTTTGAGGCAAAGTCTCCCTAATTTTCCCAGGCTGCCCTCACATTTGAGAGTCTCCTGCCTCAGCCTCCAAGTATCTGGGATTACAAGTATATGCCACTGTGCCTGACTTCTCCTAGACTCTTAAAAACCTGAGGGCACTGTAGAGAGCAGACTTTCCCTATCCCTGGTATCCATGGTGAACAATAGCATTTATGGAGACAAACTCCTAAACTTTCCATTTGATTCTCCTTCTACATTTATTTTTCCTCTTGTCAATCTATCTACTTTTCTATCAGGCTGCTCTCCTCCAGATTTTCTGAATGACTTTTCCATTGTAACTTTTTCTCTGATGTGGTATCCTCAGAGAGTGATGGCTGTATAATTATCCTCTAATTTTACAGGGCTCTTCAAACTGTCTTTCCATATTGCTTTTATGGATAGTCCAAGGACAAGGGTAACTGAAAAGTGTTATTAAAGACTGAAAGGTGTTATTAAAAGTGTTATTAAAGGTTAGAGGTAAGAATGAGGTAAAAAAATGGAAAATAATCAGATCATAAGATGTCTACTCACATCATGGGATTTAAAATGTAAACCTCTTAATATTTTTGAGATTGCAGTCTGGTTTTCCATGATGGCCTGCTTGGATTCTAACAAACTATAACATCATCAATAACTGAATTCACTTTTAATGAAATAGGTGATATTCTATCTCAGAAGCACAGTAGGCATCAGAATTCTGAAGCAATTTTCTTCTAGTCTGTAATCAAGTACTGAGGTATATGTAAGGAAATGGAGTCCTTAAATGTTGGAGACATTCTCAGATGGATGCTTTGCACCTCTAAAACACTGAGCTCCCCGTCTACCTGCTAGTGCTGCTTGGATCTTTGGTCCTCACCTAGCAGCCCGGAGAAAGCATCAGCTGTAGGCATTCTACCAGGCCTTTCTTAAAACCGCAGCCTGACTTTGGTCTCTCTTTATTCTTTAACTCCATATAAATCATCAACTGATGACAAGGTTGCTACTTAACACTGGATATTTCCATTCCCTGCTTTCTGTCCTGCTATTTAGATGGAAACCTTGGTTACCAAAGCACAGATAAACTTGAACTGGGATCTTGCTGTATTCCTTGGGACTAGAGACTTGGTTATGCTCCTTGTTATCCTCCACCTCTCTGTTGTGGAGCATCTGACACTTGTTCTTGTTGTCATTATATTATTTTAACTCTGTGCATAAGACTGTGCTGCAAATATTTTCTCCTACATGATGGTTTTCTTTTTCACTCAGTTGGTGATATCATTCTGATTTTTTCCTGGTTCTTTGAATAATTAGATTTTGCAAATCTTGTGGCTTTTGCCTCAGATGGAAAGTCTTCATAAGGACCTTCTTTGTTCACCTAATTTAGGATTACATCAATGAAGTGTTTTAAGCAAGGCCACAGTATGATCAGATTTATATTTATAGAAGCCCAGTTAACATATTCTTGAAAAATCTTGAAGAGAGCTTGGTTGATTCTGGCTAAAGATTATAGCAGCAGAGGAGAAAAGAAGTATATAAAGCCTGGGTATATTTAATAAAAATATGGGAGTTGGTGGATTAAATGTAAAAGATTGAGAGCAGGGATAGCAGTGTGTCTGTCTCTTATATTTCAGGATTAATTGTTTGGGTGCTTGATGATGCCACTCAAAAACAAATTCTGATCTCTCAACTTCTTGCTTAGCATTTTTCAGTACTTCCTCAAAGCTTTCAGGATAAAGTCTAACTCTAAAATTAGATGTTAAAAGTGTATCAAGATGTACTTCTTGTCTACATTTTAATCTTATCTATGATCATCAACCCACCAAAATCCTTTCATTTAAGACACTTCATATGACTTGTAGTGCTTGTGCAGTCTGACCACTTAGAAGATCTTGGTTTCCCGCATACTCCTTATACTATATCCTCCATGCCTGATTTTTCTGCTTGGAATAGCCTTCATTCTCTTCTAAGCTAACACTCTTTAAATTTTCAGAGTCAGATCTGCTGCCCTCTCTTTAAGTACACACAGTATGAGTTGTGTTTTTGAGGCACACATCTATCTTTTCACACCATAACTACTATTTCATTGGCTTGCTTTTCCATCAGGGTTCAAGTTCCATAGGATAAGGGAATAGGTTTCATTTGTAGGTGTATCACTACAACTCACTACACAGTAGGTGTACAATATAATGTTTAGCTGAATAAATGTCTAAATGAGTTGATGAATAAATTATTTCTGAACTAAGTGATAGTGAAAGATTTCAGAGGATTATTGCAACACTTTGAATGAGACTCCTAGTTCTCAAAGCAGGAGTAGGATTTAGACTGGCCTTAATCCAATAATAAAAACACATGTCCTGAGTTTTTGAGTGAATAAATGACAAATGGGAAGGGAAGATTTCCAGGTGTACAGAACAGTTTGAGTAATTGCCAAAAAGCAACCTGGTACAGAATATGGCTAATTGTGATGAATTCCATTTTGGCAAAAACTTAAAGGTATTGTGGGGTATGGTAGAAATCCAAAGGGAGAACTCTCATGGCATGTTCAGATTTTTTATTTTGATTGTGTTAGATGAAGAGTTTATAGTTCTATCAAAATAGTTATTCTCTGTAAGACATAATTTTCTTACTTGATGAGATGTGATGATAATAGAATTCTAGAGTCATTATAAAATCACATGTTTATAGCAAAGTGGTTTGTTGGTTTCTCACTTGGCATCTTCTGGAAAGAAGATACCTAATGTCTTCTTATTGCTAAAGAGACCTGTTACCTTTAGGCTAACTATTTAATCTAATATGGAGGAAACTAATAGAGAAGGAAGAAGAGGGGTGTGGTAGTGCATAATTACCAGTCAGAATGAAGCTTTGGGATTTCAACTGGTTTAAAAATTGATCTGCCTGCTACCTGTACACTCAGAAAAATGAGAAATTATATCCCATATGATTCAAATGTATGATATGTCAAGATCATTGTACTGTCATGTGTAACTAATTAAAACAAATTTAAAAAATGGAAAAAAAGAAACAAACAAAAAATGATCTGCCATGCTTATACAGTCACTTGTATTATAAAGTCTGACTGAGACATTGGAAACTTATTGTAAGAGTTAACATCCAGGGGTACTCAAACAATTGTAACAGCCTAAAATAAAAGAAATTTTTAATGCACTTAAAGTGGTATTTTAAAACTATTTGATTATGTGTGTTATCAATGTTCTTGTGTTTTAGATTACATGATCAGGTCATCATGGAGAATTTGGATTTAACTGAGTGAACCTGCAAGATGATCCTGGATGACTCGACCTCATTTGTGATTTCTTCATGGAGTTTGACTTTGCTCTTCTGTGACATTGCAAATAACAGGCACAGTTGCTTCACTTCTTTCCAAACTCATGTCCCGTGATCTTCATTTGCAAGGAGATTGTTCAAACTTCTGTTTTTGAATCTCTGAGTGATAGAATAGAAATCCAGAACTTGTCTCAACTTTTTTCTAGGCTTCAAGGTCTCTGGCTTATCACAGAAACCCAGTGAGACTCCTTTGCCTTTACATAATGCACCAAATCCTTGCTCTAGGAGGGGGCAAGAAAGTGGAAGGAGTATTTTATAATTATTTAAGAATTAGGCCATAATCTCATTAAAAAAAACCAGCACTCTATGTTGTACTCTGTTGGGACTGGAGATTTTCCTTTAGCTGGATGAGAATATTACTGAGCTCAGGGGCTATGTTGATTATATGCTTCAGTATCTGTTTAGAGTGTCTGATATAGTATTCTATTCTTAATTAATTTCCTAAATAAATATTTGTGAACTGATATTTCTCTTAATTCACTCATAATTTTTTGTAATTATTAAGATTACTTGTTACTAGATATTGACTATAGATGTTGGTGTTGAAAGGCTGCACTAATCACTTGTAATAGTGGAACACTCTAGGCTTATTCTAGTTTCCTAGGCAGACAACCTAGTTAGGCATGATTACATCCCTGGGCTTACTTCTATAGAACAGACAGAGACACTAATTCTAAATAAAGTATAATAAAGCAAAGGAGATTTATTTGCTTATTTTTGTTTTGCATCTTTATCATTGAGTTATAGTAGGCAGAGTTTGAAAACATGAGCTGAAATAGTGATAGGCAATTTCAAGATATTTTGATTGAAATTATAGGACAACTGAGTACAGAGAAAATGTTGAAATATCTGTACCACACTCTAGTTGGACCCTAGGATACACATTGAGGAGAAGGTGATTTGAAGACACTAATAAATAAGGAGGCAGTCTGTCAAGTTAGTTGGAACCAGATTGAATAAGGTAGGTAAGTTGGTACAACTTGGGAGAATTGAGTGGAAATGATGAGGTTAAGGTGGAATAGTTCTCCAAACATACTTGGACATTAGTTACAAAGAAAAATCAAAAGATTTTGCAAAAATGTTATCATCATCATCATCATCATCATCATTTTAGGAATTAAGTTGTTTTAGGAACTAAGCATGTCTCAAGGTCATTACAGTCACCTCAGCCTATAAAAAGTGAAATGTGTCATCTATACTATTGATTAACATAGGAAAAAGTCATAATAAATGTTTAGAAAAGTGCACAGACATTACACAGTGATGCATATTTTTCCAAACCAGTGCTTATGTTGAAAAAAATTAGAACCATCTACAAGTTACTTTAATGAAATGGCTTTCCAAGGGAGTCCAGGTTATTTTGCTTCTCTTCAGGCTTTTCATATTGAATGAAAAAATTTAACCACATTTAATAGGGAGAAAGAATCTGCAGGTCAAAATATTCAAGGAAATTTTTACCAACAGCTATTAGTAAATAGCTGAAACCACAGTTCTTCAGTGACAGTGTCAGTCAAAGTGATTTGTTTTCAACTTGTTACAGGGTTAAATAACACTGGTAAGAGCAACAAGGTATTTCAAAGTGTCATTTCTGTGCTAATGCATTTGTGTCAAGGACAGAAAAAGGCAGAACTCAAAGACAATGTTCTGATCAAGAAACAGTTGAAAATGGCAGCCACCTGGTATGGACCAATCAGGAGCTGGAAGTTTCTTTTGAATGAGAAGTGTTGTCAATGGTATGATTGTGCTATTGCAGGTTAGAACAAATGCAAACACAGTCAACAGTGAATCCAGGTATGCAGTTTTAGAGAACTGTCTTGTCTCATGTCTATTTTTTTGTAGCCACATTCACTCTGCATGCATAGGTTGCAACTCTATCAATGGAGGAGGGAAAAATCTTTCAGTATATTTTTTTATTATTTCTAATAACAGCTCCTGAGCTTTAATTATTTAAAATTATAATAATAAAATAACTCTGAAAACAAAAGATACAATACATTCCAAAATCAGCTTGTATATAACGGGTAAGAACACTTTAGCACTTAATGGTCTTCAACACACATTGCCTCTAGAGCCAGGCTTCAATTTTTAAGTGATTTTCTGTTTATATTGTAACTGATACATAAAACATACAGTTATATAAATTTATGAGTTATTATATGATGTTTCGATACGTGAATACATTGTATAATGTTTAAATTGAGTTAAACATATTTATCTTCTTAAACATTTGTCATTTCTTTATGATGAGAACACTCAAAATCCTTCTTATACATTTTGAAATGTATAGGATGTTATCATTATCTACAATAATCCTATTATGCAATAGCACACCAGAACTTCTTACATCTATGTAATCATAATTTGGTATACATTGATTAACCTCTCCCCATCCATGCACCAACCCCATCACCAGCCTCTGATAACTACGTTTTACTCTTAACTTCCATAAAATCATCTTTTTAATATTCTAACATATGAGTGAAATCATGAGAAATTAGTCTTTTTGTACCTGGTGTTTTTCACTTAATGTAATGCTCTTCAGATCCATCCATATTGTTGAAAATGACAGTATTTCATTCTTTTGATGGATGAATAGTATTACATTGTATATATGTACCATATTTTCTTAATCCATGCATCGGTTGACAACTTGGGTTGTTTCTATTTCTTCTCTGTTTTGTGAATATTCCTGCAATAAACATGAGAATGCAGATGTCTCTTTGACATACTGATTTCATTTCCTCTGGATATATACTCGGGAGCAGGATTGCTGGATCATACGGTACTTCTATTTTTTTTCAGTGGGTGGGTGGCACTTCCATACTATTCATACTATTCATAATGGCTATGCTAATTTACATTCCCAATAAGAATATGTAAAACTTTCCTTTTTTCCACGTCCTCACCAGGACTTGTTATCCTCAGTCTTTTGGGTAATAGTCATTCTTAGAGGAGTGAGGTAAGATCATATTGTGGCTTTGATCTTTGATTTGCTTTTCCTTGAGCACTGGCCCCCCTTAACAAATACTTATTAGACATCTGTATGTTTTCTTTCTTTCTTTCTTTCTTTCTTTCTTTCTTTCTTTCTTTCTTTCTTTCTTTCTTTCTTTCTAAGAAATGTCTACTTAGATATTTTGCTCATTAAAAAAATCAGATTGATTTATTTTATTACTGAATTTCTGAGTTCTTTTTATGTTCTGAATAGTATCCCAGGTCAGATGCATAGTTTCATATATTTTATCCCATTATGAGGGTTATTTCTTTATTCTGTTGATTGTTTACCTTTTTACTTTGATGTCATCCCATTTGTCTAAATTTTCTTTTGTTTTCTGTGCCTTTGGGAGTCTTATCCAAGAAATCTTTGTCCATTCTGATGTTCCATTATGTTTTGTTCTAGTAGTTTTATAGTTTTAGATTAAGTCTTTAACCCAATTTGAGTTTATTTTTGTAAATAGTGAGAGATAGGGGTCTAATTTCATTCTTCTGGCAATATTTATTGAAAAGACTGCCCTTTTTCCAGGGCATGGTCTTAGCATCTTTGTCAAAAATTAGTTGGCCAGAGATGTGTGTGTGTATACTTCCAGCCTCTCTGGTCTCCTTCTCTGGTCTATATGTCTCTCTCTCTCTCTCTCTCTCTCTTTTTAAGCTAAGAGCCTGTTGTTTTCATTACAATAAATTCATAATATATTTTGAGTCAGTTGATGTAGTATTCTTTTGTTAACAATTGCTTTGGATTTACAAAGTTTTTCTGTCATTTCACAGGAATCTTAGGATTTCTTTTTTAGTTTCCTGAAGAATATCGTTGATATTTTTATAGAGATTTTGCATTGGCTTTGTAAATTACTTTTGATTTAAATTGGCTATGTAAAGGCAACAATGCTATTGAAATTGGTGTGTTGATTTTAAATTCTTAAAATTGGCTGAGTTCATTTGTTATTTCTAGTAGCTTTTTGGTAAAGCCTTTGGGGTCTAATTTTTCTAATTTTCTTTTCAGTTGTAGATGGACACAATATCTTTATTTATTTATTTTTATGTGGTGCTGAGGATCTAACCCCAGTGCCCCACACGTGTGAGGCAGGCGCTCTACCACTGAGCTACAGCCCCAGCCCTGGGGTCCTTTCTGTATAACACCATGTCATCTTCAAACAGTGACAATTTATCTTCATCTTATTCCTGTTTCTTTGGCCTTTATTTATTTCTCTTGCCTGATTTCTCTGCTTGGAATTTCAGAACTAAGATTCCACTTTCTCTTGCATTCTTGTCTTGTTGTTTAACTTTGAGAGAAAGCTTTTCACTATGACATGAGCTGTGAGCTTCTTACACATGGCCTTTACTATGTCCAAGTATGCTACTTATATACCTAATTTATGCAGAGTTTTTTTCATAAAGGGGTGCTGATTGTTAACAAGAGCCATTTATGTATCTATTGAGATTATTGTGTTTTCCCCTTCATTATGTACAAGTGATGTATCATGTTTATTGTTTTGTGTATGTTGAAACATGCTTGAATCCATTGGATAGATCCCAATTGGTCATGGTGAATGATTTTTCAATGTGCTATTGAATTCAGTTTGCTGGCACTTGTTGAAGATTTTTGCACCTATATTCATCAAGAATATAGGCTGTGTGTGTGTGTATGTGTGTGTGTGTGTGTGTGTCTTTGTCTGGTTTTGGTATCAGGGTAAGTCTGACCTTGCAGAATTTTGAAATAATTTAAGAAGACTTGATTTTTTTTTAAGTTTTCTAGAATTCAGCAGTGAAGAAATCTGGCTCTGGGCTTTCCATTCATAGGAGAGTTTTTATTATTGATTTAGTCTTACTAACTATTATTGGTCTGGTCAGGTATTCTATTTCTTCATAGTTATATCTTGACTAGATATGCAGAAACTTCCATTTCTTCCAGGTTTGCAAATTTGCTGGCATACAGTTGTTCATGATAAACTCTAATGATCCTGTTTCTGTAGTGTCATTTGTAATGCCTTGTTTTTCACCTCAAATTTTATTTATTTGAGTCTTTATTTTACTGGAGTTAGTCTAGCTAAGAATTTGTCCATTTTTCTATCTTCTCACAGAACCAGCTCTTTGTTTTGTCTATCTTTTGTATTTTATATTTTTAGTTTCTATTTCATTCATTTTGGCTCTGGTCTATAATATTTCTTTCCTTCTACTAGTTTGGGGTTTTGTTTGTCTAGTTCTTTGAGAGGCAGTGATAGGCCGTTTACTTGAGATCTTTTTGTTTTACTGATATCGGCATTGATTGCTATAAACTTCCCTTTTAGTACCACTTTTGCTGAAATCTGTAGGTTTGGGAACATTTTTCATTTTTGTTTGTTTCAATATTTTAATTTCCTTTTTGATTTCTTTCTTGATGAGTTGTTTGCTCAAAGTCAAGTTGTTAAATTTCTATGTTGTTAAATTTCTAATAAATTTCTATATTAACATATAAATTTCTAGAAATTTATAT